ACCTCTCTGGTTAACCAGTCTTTAAAAAACACTGGAGTAATACCTTCCCTGGAGTGCTTCATAGGTTTTTAGTGAGAATGAATAAAGTTTCATAATAGTAGTTAATTCTTTTGCTTTTGTCTATTTTCTTTTATTGCATTTTATCACATTTTCCTAGTGCATTTTTCATGACTCTTTTCTGTGTTAATATATTATGTGTCCTATGCCTACTCTCTTGACCATCCTCATTTCAGACCTCTTCTTCCATGCATTAGCAAAAATAAGTAGAATAAGAACTTTGTGCATAGAGAGAGAAACTTATTTTTCTCTTTTTCGTAAAGAGCCCTGTTAATTTATGCTGCCTCACTCTTTCCTTGAAGAAGCTACGGGCATTTTTTTCTATCTTCTACTTGAGAGAGGAAAGCCCCAATGTCCTGCATTGTTAGATCTGTTTTTAAAATATGCTTTAGTCTTAGGAAGTGACCAAAATCTTGTACATTTTCTGTGTTCTCCCCTTCCAGGCAAAGTAGTTCAAAGCACGAATTACTTAATATGTGAAAGTGGTCATGCAGCAGCAGTAGAGGAATTTTTTCATATCGAGCATGTCTCTGCTTCCCTAGATGGGAATGTTTTTCAGCTAAGTCATTTCCCAGTGAAGTGTGCATTGACTGGGAAGAGGTCAAATGCATTTCCATGTTTTGGGAAGTTGTGTTTAATGGAAAAGGACTGTTTGGCATGTCTTTACTATACATTTAACAATTAGGTTGAATCATTTGAAATGAATTCAAGTTGGTAAGATATTTGCCAGCTTAAATGCTTTCATAATTAAAAAAAATTATGTGGATATAGGCTTGTAACTTGCCAATGGCTAAAGAGAAATAATGGAATTTAAAAAGTTTAAATTGAGGCCTTTTCTTTTTGTACTGGAATGAGGACTTGAATACATGGCCAGGAAATGGGAGATTGTGTATTTTTCCTCTTTATCAGTGTTTAATGATGATCTCGGAAGGAAATGCATAGCAAGCTACATAATGATCATTTTAAGTTCTATATTGTGTTGTTACATCCTATTGGTACTTTAAATGTGATCTTGAGTAGCTCAAAAGGAATTTTCAGGCTCTTGAGGTCCAGAGGTTTGTCAGTAAGGATTTTGTACTCTTCTTATCAAATCACTTTGTAGCAAGGGCCCTCTTTCATTTACTATATGATGCTGGAGCTCTTATTTTTAACTCTGTTTATTAAGTCTTTATTTGGATATCCCTTAAGACCTATCTTTCCTGGAAATAAAAGAGCATTTAGTGATATCCCCATTGTCATTGACTCCCTAAGTCATCCCATGCAGTGGAGCAAAGTAATTACCATCCTTTTGAAGGATGCCTTTCTTTACCTTTTGCTTATTTTCTTTTGATAGAAGACTTTTCTGGTGAGATTGGTCATAATATTAATGAATGTGATTTTCTGATATTATATAAATGAAATGTGTCAACATTTGGAAGATCTGCATAACTCAGTGAATCAGTATCTTCTATGACCAGTGCATGATGATACAGTCATAGATGAGTCAAAGATCCATTTAGAGTGCAGGATAGACAAATGGAATTTAGAGTAAGAGTGTAAAATATTTACTGATATAGTTTCAGATTCCACATTGCAACTAACCTTTAAGAAACTGCCACTTGTGGAGTTTTGGTGGAGTATCAAAGAAGAATATCCAGAATTATTTGAAAAGGCTATTAAAATAGTCCTCTCTCTTCAAAGAACATATTTGAATGAGGCTGGATTTTCTTCATATACTTCAGCCAAAACATGTTATAACATTGAATGTAAAAGCACATATGAGAATCCAGCTCTTTAATTAAACCAGACATTAAAGAGACTTCACAAGAATATGATGCAGTGCCATGCTTCTCATGATTTTGGGGGAAAATACAATTATTTCATTAAAAATCTTTTTATTTTAACATGTAGTAGGGCTGTTATTTTAAAATTAAATATTTTAAAAATTTCTGTTTTGATTTTTAATATAGTAAATTTAACCCATATAATTCATGTATATAGAAGTTCTTTGGGTCTTTAATACTTTTTAAGATAGTGTAAAAGGTTCCTAAGACCAAATGTGTAAGAACCTCTGCTGTGGTGCTTAATCAGAGACTTGGAGCCACATTACGTAAGTTTGAAACCCAGCTTTATTGTTTAACATTTGTGAGCTTGGACAAGATACAGAACTACTTTTTGACCTCTGTTTCTTCATCTATAAAATGGTATAATAATAAAACTTATAAGGTTGTCATAAGGATTAAGCTGAATATATGAAAAGTTCTTAGAACTTATATAGGACTCAGCAAGCTGTGTAATTCTCAGCTGTTGAACATTTGTAATGTGGTGTTTTCCTTATGGATGCTAAGTTTGTAGATTTCTAGAGATTGGGTGTTTTTAAGTATTAACATGGGCTATTATCAGTGAAGTTCCTTTACTTTTTCTCTACCCTTTTTTTCTCAAAGACAGTGGTTCTCAACCTTTGGTGCGTGTTAGAATCACCTGGGGAGCTTTAATGAAAAAACAAAACAACACACCTCAATACCCAAGACACACCCCAGATTAACCCAGTTAAATGAGAATCTGGAGGTGGGGGGCAGGTAGAGCCCAAGCATTAGTATTTCTAGGTGATTCCATTATGAAGATTGATGACCACTACTCTGACGACTGAATATTCAGACCCTCTGCCCTTGGATTCTGTCTTTCCCTCCATGTTCTCAAATAAATTGGAACTAATCTCTCTCCCCTACCTCTCACATCACTGTACTTGGAGGTGTGGTTGGTGTTCCTGCTCTTCAGTGCTCCTGTCAAGGAGATTGTCTTTCCCTGTTCCCTAACCCCCATCCCCAGCTTTAGAACTGAGGCCAGCAGACAGTAAGCCCCACCACTCCCTCCTTGTCATCCAGAGACATTCTTTGAAGATTTTAGCACATGGCTTATTGTTACTTTCTCAGTAGTATTGCTCTTGTCATGATTCCAGGTGATTTCATATTCATATAAATGCGCCTTCCAACACGCTGGCCTCCCAGTCCCAGACTTACTTTCCTCCAGTGACCTCGTTTTCCCCCTTCCTCAACTGGACACACTGTCAGCCAGACCTTGTCAGACCAGTTACCCATCACCTCCATCATCTCAGCTGCAAACATCCCATTCTCTGAGGATCGCTTTTGTCTTTCTGATTTGTTCTTTTTAGTATCTAAACTCTAACAATTCTTCCAGCTCACCAGGACCATTAGCCCTACCACCTTTTCACTAATTCTCACTTCCCTTATGAACTTACTTTGCTTTTTCCTGGCTGAGAGTCCATGGTCCATAATTATAATCATTCTTTTGCAAACTCTCTGAGATCACTTGCCCCTCTTCCTTTTGTATTTACCTGGCAAAATCCCTACCTTTGTTAAATCCATATTCTTCCCATTCCCACATTGCATCGCACCCAGGCAAGGGAATTTATGCAAACTGGTCTCAAAGATCCAAGTTCAGTGGGGCTTTTAGTGATATGTGGAATCCCTCCTCCATTTTCCCAGTCCATTTATTGTTTATTGCTCTAAATGACTATTTCACATTTTCTTCTCCAACTTCCAATATCTGTCCCCCCGCCCCCGCCTTCCTTACTCTCAGCTGATGACCTATTTCAAGGAGAAAATACAAGCTCTCAGGAGAGAATGACCACAAGCTCCTGCCACCACATGGGACTGCGTGCCTGCATTCCTACTCCTCGGATGGCCTTTTCTCTTGTTTCTGTGGATGGACTCTCTGTGCTTATTTCCAAGGCCAACCCTCTTGGAGATCCCATTCCTACCTACCTATTCATTATTCTCTCCCATGGTATTCCCTTCTCCCCCTTTTATGTCAGCATGTCTTCCCCTCTCTATGGGATCTTCCGCCAGGCTGTAGACATCTGAGCAAAACTCTCTTGACCCCACTTTCCCCCTAGTTACCAGTTTGAATTGTCTGCACTAGCTGTCAGCAATTTCCTTCTAACTGTTCTCTCTTAAAACCTCCATAGTCAAGCTTTTACTTCAACGAGATAGCGCTTGCTGAGGACACTGCTGACCTGCGTGTTAACAGACCCTGCAGTCCATTCCGAGGTCTCATCTTAACTCATCAACACCATTTGACACAACTGATCACTTCTTTCTCTTGAAGCCCTTCCTTCACCAGGTTTCAGGGATGCACGCTGTATTTTTCTCAGTATTTATTACTATTTATTATTTATTTTGGCACACTGAAATGTAAGCTCCTTGAGCAAGGACTTGGCTTGTTCTTGTCACTGCCTCCAACAGTGGTTGATACATAATAAGTACTTGATATGTATTTGTTGAATGAACGTGAGCTTGAAAATCTCTTTGTACTTACCAGATCTTCCCCCGTTCCCAGCTCCTTTCCTGGTCATAAGCTATCACATATTTCCTTCCTCTTTTTCTCTGAACTTTGCATTTTCTTAATGGTATTTTCCCTCATCTCTAATCTATTTGTATCTTTTTCAGGCTGAACCACCACCATTATGCATATATTTCTGTGGGGCTCTGATGTTTACAGAGCATTTATTTATATCTGATATTACGGATGCCGATGGTCTGTGGATCTCATTTGAATGATATTAGCATTTAATGCTGATTTTAGGTGCAGATGGAAAAAAATTAAAATTATAAAAGGATAAGAAACAAATTAAATCTTCCAGGACTAACATTACGGTCTTCTAAGTTTCTTGTTTTATTACTACCCTCCTTTACACTTCACTGTTTCTGCCTACTCACAACGGAATTCCTCCTTGATTTTCTGCACGAATTTTCAGAAGGCAGGAGAAATCACCAAGCTCAAAAGACCCTTCTAACTTCAGCTCTGAGTTTATTGTTAGTTAAGAGTAGTCTGTTTCTCCTAGATTTTCATCTCTTTTTTCCCTCTGTGCTGGTGTGCTAATGTGATACTGGACTTGGACGAAAATTCATTTGTTACTGGTCTTTTATTTTTGGCTTCTACAGAACCTTGCCTCCTGGAACCCATCAAATCCTGAATGTCTCTTACTTGTGGTGAAGGAGCTTGTGCAACAATATCACCAGTTTCAATGCAGCCGCCTCCGTGAGAGCTCCCGCCTCATGTTTGAATACCAGACATTACTGGAAGAGCCGCAGTATGGAGAGAACATGGAAATTTATGCTGGGAAAAAAAACAACTGGGTAAGGTTTTTCGAGAATGGGGAAAAAGAGTCACTTTATCTGTAATAGTATAAAATAATCAATTGAGATGTTTATTTATAATTAACCCTGGCCATTTCCTTAGATAAACATGATTCAGATTGTCTCTGTACTTTGTCAGTCGCACATCCCCAGCCCCTGACTTCTGAACATCTGGGACTAGGGATGTGAGACTCCAAATTTTATAAGCTTCCCAGGTGATACCTTTCATGAGGGTCTCTTCAAACTCTAAATTATGGGCAAATATATAGTATCCCAGTCAGATGAGAGGTCAGTAACTCTGGACGTAGCTAGTTATATGGAGCCTTTTATAGTTTCTTTACATCGTGTGGTCCTTTAAAAATGCAAGCCAGAGCCTGTCACTCCTCTGCCCAAAACTTTCATATACCTTTCTTTTTCTCTCTTAGTAAAAGCCGCAGTCCTTCCTGTGATGTAAAAAAGCTCTATGTGATCCCCATCTTCACCTTCCTCCATCTGACCTTCCTTCTCTCTCTCTCCATCTCCTACTTTCCTGTCTAAAAATAATCAGCTCCAGCCACCCTAGCACTCTTGCTGCACTGCAGATGCAGCAGATGTGCTCCTGCCCCAGGGTCTTTGCATGGCTTTCCCGTTGTCTGGCCTGTTTCCCCTGATATTCACAAGGCTGACACCCTGCCTGCTCAGAGTTTTCAGTCGTGTTCTGTTCTTAAGCAATGCCTGCATTAACACCCCAATTTTTAAAAACAACTTTCTAGGTATAATTTTGATACCATAAATTCACTCGTTTTAAGTGTAAAATTTAATGATTTTTAAAAATAAAGTTGCCAACTTGAGCAACCACCATCAGTCCAGTTTTAGAATGGTTCCATCACCCCAGTAAGATCCCCCAATTAGAATTAATCCTGTTCCCACCTCCAACCCCAGGCAACCACTAAACTCATTTCTGTCTGTGTAGATTTCCTTTTCTGAACATTTCATGTACAGGCAATACCTGGGAAATATTGTGGGTTCAGTTCCCAACCATTGCCAAAAAACACCCAAATAACGTAGTAAAGCGAGTTACATGAATTTTTCGGTTTCCCAGTTCATATAAAAGTTATGTTTACATTATACTGTAGTCTGTTAAGTGTGCAATAACATTATATCTAAAAAACAATGTACATACCTTAATTAAAAATACTTTATTGCCAAAAAATACTACCCATCATCTAACAATGCAGGATTGCCACAGACCTTCAATTTGTAAAGAATACAGTATCTGCAAAGGGCAATAAAGTGAAGCCCAGGAAAACAAGGTCTGCCTGTGGTGGAATCACACAACATGTTGTCTTTTATGATTGGATCCTTTCACTTTTCACACTGTCAGTGGTTTGAGGTTCATCCACGTTTAGCATGTATCAGTACTTCATTTCTTTTTATGACTGAGTAATATTCCACTGGATGGGCATATCACAATTTGTTTATCCATTCACCAATTGATGGACATGTGGGTTGTTTTTACTTTTTGATTGTTACGAACAATGCTGCTATAAATAAACATTCACATGCAGGTCTTTGTAACATTCCCTTTTAAAATTGTAACTTGCAATTCCCCCTGTCTTTACCCTGTTCTACTGTTTTTTTTTTTGGAATCTATTTATAACAAACCATATAATTAACAAATTGTATTAGTTATATGTTGCTGCATAAAATAATCATTCCAAAATTTAGGGACTTAAATCAATAATGTTTATTATCATAGTTTTGGTTTGTTGGGGATCTGGGTAGACCCTCTGTTTCAGGGTCTCTCGTAGACTGCAGTCAAGGTACTGGCCAGGGCTGCAGTCATCTTAAGACTCAACTGGAGATGGACCCATTTTAAGTTCATTCCTGTGATTGTTGGCACTGTTGTGGGCTGTTGACCTAGGGGTCTCATTTCAGTTCTGGCTGTTGGCTGGAGGCTGCCCTCAGTTCCTTGCCTCTTCTAGGGCCGCTCCACAGGGCAGCTTATAAGATGGCAGCTGGCTTCACCAGAGCAAGCAGGCAGGAGTGAGTAAGATGTGTGAGCGAGACAGAAATCACAGATTTATTACCTAATCTCTGAAATGACATCTCATCACTTTTGCTGTATTCTGTTTCTTAAATCTAGTCTACACACTGAGGGGGAATTATATAAGAGTGTGAATACCAGGGATCATTGCAAGCCAGTTGGAAGCAACCTACCACGCTTACTTGTTATGCTTATTGTTTGTTTGTCTCTCCCCACAGGAATGTAAAATTCCATGAAGGCAGGGATCTTTTTTTCTGTTCACTAGTATATTATAAACATCTACAACAGTGCCTGCCATATTGTTTATAGTCCGTAAACATTTGTTGAATGAATGAATGAACAAACTCTAGTTTATTTCAGCACAGAAAAAGTTTAGGTTCCCTTCTCTGTATTAGTTCTTTTAAATTTTACTTAGTATTTATTTTCTTAGGTTAAATATGCCTCTCGCTTTTTGTTCTTCAGCTCTTTCTTAGAGTACATTTTTCCCAAGGTCTTATACATGATTTATTGCTTTGAATCAGTAGGATTAAAATTTATTCTTGTTACAAATCGTCTTGTTTGTTCAGTTCAAGGTTTTTTTTTTTTGGTTATTTTGTAAATTTATTTTGTTTATTTTATTGTGGTAAAAGATACATAAAATTAAATTTACCATCTTAACCATTCTAAGCATACAGTTTAGTAGTGTTGAGTACATCCACATTGTTGTGCAGTAGTAGATCTCTAGAACTTTCCCATCGTGTAAAACTGAAACTCTGTGTCAATTTAAATACTAATTCCTCTTCCCTCCAGCCCTTGGCAACTACCTTTTCACTTTCTGATTCTATGATTTTGGGTCTTTTAGATACCTCATGTAAATAGAATCCTACAGCATTTGTCCTTTTGTGACTGGTTATTTTGCTTAGCATAATGTCTTTGAAGTTGATCCATGTTGTTGCATGTTACTGGATTTCTTCCCGTTTTAAGGCTGCCTAGTATCTATTGTACATTTATATCATGTTTTGTTTATCCATTCATCCAAAGGGTGGACATTTGCATTGCTTACACCTCTTGGCTATTGTGACTAATGCTGACTGCACATGGGTATATACAAAAATCCTGCTTTGAATGCTTTTGAACGTACCCCTAAAGTAGGATTGCTGGATCATATTGCTGATTCTATTTTTAATTTTTTGAAGAATCTCTATGCTGTTTTCCATAATGGCTTACCATTTTATAGCAGCAGTTCCAGGTTTGAAACTATTATTTTGAAACTTTAATCTGTTCACATGGATAGTGAGTTGGACAAGTTGGACTTGTTGGACTTAGTTTATCCTCTAGCTCCAGTATTTCTCTTATTAAATAATCAACTTAGTTGTCCTCAAAAAAGGTGTTTGGTTAATTTGGCATGATTTCTTCTTGGTCAACCTGTGTTATCTTTAGTGCTGATAGACTCATTTAAAGACAAGAATCACTGTCAAACTAATTGATCTTTAGTTTTAAGGCTTTTCATTCCCATTCAATTCCCCCTTTTAATAGTAAGGCTGAATTTAAATGTATCCAGTTTTATGGCACTGTTTCTGAACTAAGAATTTTTGAAATTATGTTTATTGGCCTAGTTGATACTTGACTTACAGTTATTCTGGGTGTAGAAGTTTAAATGTATTTAAAGTAGCTAGATAGTTTGAATTTAGAGTATATTTAAAACTTCCCATTTAATGTTATTGATTCTCCATTCTTTACTTATAAAGTCTACTACTGCTATATTTACCCCAGTTTATTTTGATTTACCATTGAGTAATATGTAAACATTAGGGCAGTGGTTATGGACTTAGGGAAGTAAATAAACTGAGAATCCCCATAACAAGGTAAGGTGAACAATTAGAGGGTAAGCTGACAGCAGATCAGCCCCCGGGAGGACCCAGTAGAAGTGGGAGCTGAGATTCTAGAAGTAAAATATAGGCATATGAGTTAGTTCCTGGTCCAGAAGCAGGGTATAAAGATGAGTCATGAAGAGTGAAGCACATTTGAGCTTGGCGTGCTGGTTCAGGAATGTGTTAAAGGATGGCTTGCTAATGGAATACAAATCCATACCAAGAATCTGGTTGAGAAACACAGGACCCTAACAGAAAGAAAGGAGTTTGATTTTGAGCCAAGATTTTTTGAGTCAGGTATTGTATTAGTTTCCTATTGCTGCTGTAAAAAATTACAACAGACTTGGAGGCTTAAAACAACACAAATGTATTATAGTTCTGGTGGTCAGAAGTCTGAAATGGGTCCCCTTGGGCTAAAATCAAAGTGTTGGCGAGGCTGCGTTCCTTCTGAAAGCTCTAGGGGAGACTCTTTGAGGACATTTTAAAAACTGGCAGATATGCTGCAGAGATATTATCTCTGAGAAGTTATGGAGGAGCAAAAAGATCCTAGAGGACTGTAGAAAGTAAAAACATTCTGGAGATTTTTAGAAGAAATTACACGCAGGTCTTTTAAGTGGATGATTTGCAGACATTTAAATAAGAATGCAGTAGTCAGTTAAAGTAACAGTTGGGTAACTAACAAACAGTCATGGCAAATATATTTTACCCTTTTAAGGGAAGTGAATATCATTGACTTAGATGATCTCACTTTCAATAAAGCATTCAGTCCTTCCTTAGTAGTCTGCTAACTATATGCTCCTTTCTTAGTTGTTTGAATGTATGGAAGAGCTATGCCGAAAAGATATACCTCTTGTCGGCCCTTAGGTGTCTTGTGGACTGTCACAGCTTATCCTTTGACCCTATTTTGTTCATTGTTCTATTAGGTTATTGAAAATTGTGCTTTTCAGTTTACTACAGAATCAATATTTAAAATTATTTTTATATTTATATGCACTGGGGTGCTGTGCCAGACCCATAAGATAGGCCAGGGTAGGACTGATACACATTTATGGAAAGTCCATGATGCTAGATTTTGCTAGATAAAAAAAGCAGTCAGCTTTTGCTTTTGAAGGTGTTAAAATCCA